CGTTCCTTGTTTACCTACTCTCTTCCCAACAAATAACAGTGATGTGTGAGTGCCAGGTGTAGGGGATGAGTAGGAACCAACTGCCACCCCTTCCTTCTAAGTCTGGCACATGTGAATGAGTGAAGAAATACAGCTCAGCACACAATGCCCACATGAATGATTTACCTCTTTCATAGTTAACATAGAAGGCAATGTTAATATTTTTTAGGTGCTTAATGTGACAGGAACTAAGAAAAATCTATGCATAATCCACACCCCAGGGGGGAGGAACAATAAAACCGTGGGTGAAGTAAGACAACTGTTGGTGTAAGATATGAAAACAATAATTTAAATTTATCAAGGGGTCATGAAGGTGGGAAAGTGGGGAAGGAGGGGAAAAAATAGGAGCTGATATCAAGGGTTCAAATAGAAAGTAAATGTTTAACAGCAGTTCTCAACTTGTGGGTCGTAACCCCTTTGGGGGTTGAACGATCCTTTTACAGGGGTTGCCTGATGCATAAAAGTAGCAAAATTACAGTTACGAAGTAGAAACGAAAGTAACTTTATTGTTGGGGTCACCACAACATAAGGAACTGCATTAGAGGGTCGCAGCATTAGGAAGGTTGAGAACCACTGGTTTAGAAAATGATGGCAACACATGTACAAAAGTGCTTGATACAATTGATGTATGGAATGTTATAAGAGCTAAGAGCCCCAGTAAAATGATTTTTTTTTAAAGAGAATACTAAAAACAAAAAAACCCGTGGCAACAAGACAGTGAAAATATGCTAGTTTGGGCAATTATCATTACATATGAGTATTAAATTTATTTTTCAGATATCCTAAAAACCTCCTACAATTCTAACAAGATCAACTAACTTCTAACTGTAAGGTAGGTGTCCTCTTAGGACAGACACTTTCTTTCCACTGTTAGTAGCGTGAAATCATTTTATGCTCAGTATCCCAAGTTGTAGACATGTACCACTTGGCAGTCCAGAAGGTTTCATATATATTGTATGAACACAGCGACACCTGGAAAAGTCGTGTCCTCTTAATTAAAACAGGAGTGGGGCATGTATAAGGCCCGCAAAATCACCGATACCAGCTAGCATCACACACTTCGCCAGCGAGCAGCAGTTCCTGCCATCACGTGGTTAGGTGCCATCCAGTCAGTTCCGACCACGGCAGCCCTGTGCACTACAGAATGAAACCCTGCAGCATCCTTGCAACTGTCCCCATGTCTGGGACCCGTCCTGGCAGCGGCTGCGTCAGCCCATCTTGTCAAGGGCCTTCCCTTTTACGCCACCACCAAGGATGTTCTTCTCCAGGGACTGGCCTCTCTAGACAGCATGTCCAAAGTATGTACGAGGAAGTCTTGCTATCCTTGCCTCTAAGAACTCTGGCCGTACTTCTTCCAAGAACGATCAGTTTGTCCTTTTAGCATTCCATGGTACTTTCAATATTCTTCCCCAGCACAATCCAAACGCACTGGTTCTTCAGTCTTCCTTGTTTAATGGCCAACCTTCACACGGATGAGATGCAATGGAGAATTCCCTGGCTTGGGTCAGGTGCACCTCAGTCCTTGCTTTCAATACTCTACAGGCGTCCTCAAACTACGGCCCGCCGAGTGTTTTTGCCACATTTTTTTACTTCAAAATAAGATATGTGCAGTGTGCATAGGAATTTTGTTCATAGTTTGTTTTTTTTAAACTACAGTCCGGCCCTCCAACGGGTCTGAGGCGAAGTGGCCCCGTTTAAAGGTGAGGACCCCTGCTCTAAGAGGTGAGAAGCAGATTTACCGTCCTGACATAATTTGATCTCTCGGCTACTGCCATGAGCACTGGTGGTGGACCAGGCAAGACAAAGTCCTTGACAACTTCAAACTCTTATCCATTTGGGATGATGTTACTTCAATGGTGGTGAGGATTTTGGTCTTCTTTACACTGAGCTGTCATCCATATTGAAGGTTACAATCCTTGATCTTCCTCAGCAAGGCTTCAAGTCCTCCTGACTTTCAGCAAACAAGGTTGTCATCTGCATTTTGCAGGTTGTTAAAGTGTTCCTCCAAACTTGATGCCATGTTCTTCCGCATTAAGCCAGCTTCTCTTATTTGCTCAGCATACAGTTGAACAAGTATGGTGAGAGGATACAACTGCAATGCTTACTTTCCTGATTTTAAACCATACAGTATTCCCTCTTGATTAACGTACAAGTTTCTCGTGAGCACAATGAAGTGTTCCGGAATTCCCATTCTTCTCAAGACTATACATAGACATGGTCCACATAGTCAAATGCCTTTAGTTAATGAAACACAAGTAAACATCTTTCCGGTATTCTCGGCTTGGAGCCAAGATCCTTCTGACCTAAGTAATGCTATCCCTTGTTCCATGTCCTCCTCTCAATCTGGCCTGAACTTCTGGCCGTTCCCTGTCAACGTACTGCTGAAATCATTGTTGCATGATTTTTAGCAAAATTTTACTTGTGTGCCATACCAATGATATTGTTTTGTAACCTGAGCATTCTGTTGGGCCACCTTTCTTTGGAATGGGTACAAATATGGATCTCTCCCAGTCAGCTGGCCATCACATTTGGGGTGACTTACTTAAACATTTGATCAGTATGGCCCGAGATTGATGTTAATAAACATGTAAATGGTCCTTGCCCCCCCCAAAAGGTTCCCCATGTCTGCCTTAAAACAATAAACATGTCCCCCCTCCTTTTCTCAACAGAGATTCTATCAGGACAGAAAGAGCAATAGGTGTCAGAATCAAGAATTACCTATGCTATCGGGATATTTTAAAATAAAATTATGTAACAGGCATTAAGAAGCTACTGTACACTGCCCGATGAAAAGACAATTCCGTCCTTGAAGATATACAACCAGAACGCACCTTAGAAGTGAGGACGATGAGACTTCGGCTTATTTACTTTGGACACACCTTGAGGAAAGACTAATCACCAGAAAGTGAATTTATGGTTGGTAAAGTTGAGAGCCAAGGAAAATGAAGGAAACTCTCAATAACAAAATAGCTACAATACATGCAAACATACCAGTGATCATGGAAATGTCACTCATCACGCAACGTTCCTTCTGTTACATATTACAAAGGTTTCCCATGAAGTGGCGTCTTCTCAATGGCAATGATAGTTTCTTTCCCATGAAAAGCAAATTCAGTGACATTTTTGAAGTATTTACAAGAATGTTCTATAAAGTGATGACTATTAATCTGCAGAGCCATAGCAATATTCCAACAGAACGTATGAAACTATGGTTACTAGTCCATCCTGGGCCAGCACTTGGTCTCTATGTGCCCCACCTTGAACAATCCTGCTATCTCCATTTTACGAAAGCAATACTGCTAATACTGCTAACCCAGGGATGGGTTTCAAATGCGGGGCCATTCGACTCTCAAATCCATACTGTCTGTTGTGCCTCCCTGGGCAGAGACCCTGCCTGGCTTAGGAAATACATCAGTTAACTTTCATTCAATCTAATCATGTGCAATTTAATCAATCATATATGTAATATCAAATAAATCCATCAAGTATGGCTCAAAATACTTGGGAACTGGAAATTCATACACTTGTAATTTTCTCTTTCAAAAGTTCTTAAGAACGAAACCACTGGAAAGGTTTTCTTAAAGAACCGTGGCTATGTCCACACCGCACAATCAGTGTGAATCAGATTAACATTTTTTCCTTACAAATTTCCTTTTTAGTCTTCAGTAGACAGCCCTTTCCCTTATTGTTACTTTATCTTCTAATTACATGTATTATCTTTAGTATACGCTGCACATGTTCTACCTGAAATTTCAATACGAATGAAAAAAATACACACAGAAAAGCAGCAGACACATACCAGTCAGAATATCTTAAACTAGCTTCAAAAACCAAGTCATAAAATCATACACCAATGGTAGTGTAAATCTTTCTGGTGGCAACAATACCCGAGAACCAAGCTGATGACACGGAACGCTCAGTCTACTTAGAAAATTCCTGGCAGTGTGAAGGCCACTGAAGAAAATATTCAAATAGGACACCACACCATTTCCCCCCTTCCCACTGGGTGTTTATTTTACAGCTTTTGCATCAGGTAATCAACTGAAACACTTCAGCAACAGAAAGCTGGCAAAATGTTAAGGGAAAGAAGTGATTATCTCTCCCACAGATGTGACAAAATGGTTGGAAGTTGGAAACAGTACTGCATAAATGAATCGACTGTGGGGGAGGAGAGCGGGGGGGCGGAGGCGGGGGGCGACTAGAAATGGAGAAAGGAGCGAGCATATTCCAACATGAACTGTGAAGAAAAAAGGTACGATTTTACTGTGTATTTATAAAACAAAAGCCAAGATAGACAACCCACGTATCTCAAAATTACATTCAGCATTGCTTTTAAGCTGCCCTTGTACCTGACTCTCCCTAGAGAAGCCGCAAAGGCTCCCTAACAATCAGATAGGCCTCAGTCATGGGTTTGCTAATAATGGGAGTTTCACCATCGGGGTCCATTGTAGAATCAGCACTGCTAAGGTCACTAAACCGCATGCACTTTAAATTACAGATAAATCTGACTGGCTGATCGTCCATTTCATGCACTGAAATTCCCACCCCGGGAAGGAAGCTCTACTCCAGAGAAATGAAGTTAGCAGTGCATCAGAATCAGGATTGCTTTTCCCTTAGAGAGATGCCTGAACAGCAGATTCGTTGGCATCACACATCAACTAAGCCCAGGACAAATGAATGCAAAAAACAAATAGCAATTGAAGTAGCACTAACTAATTTACAAAGCAGCAAACTTTCAAACTAAAGCAGAACCACCTGGGCTGCTCAGAGGCAAACTTCACAAAAGGTCACATTGGGTACTTCTCATAATCAAGGATTCTTGGACCATGGAGATGTGTTTGACCAATGGGAAATGGTGGCGAATGATCAATGGAAAAAACTAACTAGCTGTTTTCACAGATGCTGTAGGTGTAGAATCTGAATAAGAGTTAAAATACCAGCTATGCATGTGGGAAACAGACTTTAAATTCTCTAGTGCCTTTGGCATTTTTATTTTATTTAGAAAAGAGAACCATTGTCTACAAACTATTTTCTAATTATGCAAATACAATGAGCAAATCATCTGCGATATCAAAATACTGTGTGTAAATCACGGATGGCACTAACAATTACAGGAATTCCTGATAAAACATCAATTGAGAAAGAGCAACAAATTTCAAATGACAGACACTGGCTGAATTTAAAGAACAGAAGATAAAATGAAAGATTTATGAAGTCGGCACATTGAAGTTCTCTGATTTTCAATACTTTGCATCCAGTTGTCAGGAGTCCAGGAGCACCCAATACACTCAGAGTTGCACAAATGCATATGGATGATACAAAAGTAATCCCATGCAGTATTTTAAGTGTTGCTATCATATATATTTAAGTGATAGTTTACATATTAAAGCTGGATAAAATCAGAATATATCCTCCCATTACATTTTAAAAGTCACAATAATTTATCAACAGTTGACATTTCACAATAATTAGAAAACAGAGGAGGTCATTCAAGTTAAACAAAAAGATACTCTTTTCCTCTTTTAGGAAATGAACATATATAGATATACACACATACACACATAACCTCTTTTAAAATCCAAGGTGGTTAATTTACTTTTGTATTATAAAAAAGATATCTCCCTAAGATCAAAATACCGAAAAAGCGCAAAGGTTGAAAAAAGAAAACCACATTTGCCACTTTAAAAAAATACATCGTTGTCTCATTGATTCTATTTATTTATATAATTGATTATGAAGTTAGGGTTTTAAGGACTCTGCACTAGTCAGGCTTCCAGGACTACAATGGACCCGATGGAATGAAATCCACCCTTTCTCAGCCTCCAGGAAGGACACAAACCCATCCTAAATGATGACAGAATGAATACTTCTATATTGAACTCTTAAACTGGGAAAGAAAACATGCCCACCCAGAAGCAATCGAAGTCGTAGAAGTTTATGAATTTGTGGGTGAGACCACATGAATCAGAAATCTATTCTTTGGATACGTTGGGAGTTTTTCAAAGCATATAAACTCATTTTAGGCCACTAGAGTACAGATTAAAAAAAACGATTTCCCCATAAAGAAGGGTTTCTCTAGAACAGCGAGTAGTGAACTGCAGGCCACAGGCCAGCTCTGACATGTCACCTGTTTTTATAAAGTTTTATTGGAACACATAATGCCCATTTATGTATTGTCTATGGTTGATCTGCACTACAATGGCACAGCTGAATAGCTAAGAGAGAGACCATTATGTCCAACAAAACTTAAAATACTCACTCTGGCCCTTCACCAAAAAACCCCCTTGCTTTTCCGTCAGAACCTTCGTCTTGCAGTGACCTGCCCAAATGACGGACAAAAACCAAGGGAAAGAGGGGCATCCGCTACCTGTTTCTCCAGGCCCTTTGGGAAGCACGGCGTGGTTCCCCTGACCACATACATGCGACTCCACAAGAAAGCAGTCATCGTGGACATCAAGGGCACGGGCACTGTTCAGAAGGGGATGTCGCACTAATGCTACCACCGCAAACCTGGACGCGTCTACAGCGTGGCCCCGCACGCCGTGGCAATGTTGAGACCAAGCAAGGTGAGGGCCAGATCCTCGCTCAGAGGAATCAAGGTGCGCATGGGGCACCTGGAGCCCTCTTCCTGACTCGCAGGAAGGAGAACGACCAGGAGGCGGCGGCCAAGGAGAAGGGCAGCTGGCTGCGGCTGCAGCTCGAGGCCCACTGTGCGGACCAATGGGAAGCAGCCCGAGCTGCTTGGGCCCATCCCCTAGGAGTTCATGGCCTAGTCTGAAATAAAGTTGTTCCGGGCGGGGAAAAACAAAACAAAACTTACTGATCCCTGGAGCCTAGTGTACTAGGCGCTACCTTAGTTACCTAAGAGTTACTGCACCTCTGGACGACTTTAGCTTGTATTCCCACCCAAGAATAACCTGCATACTGGGAGTTCATTAGCAGGCAAACATCAAATATTCTCACCTTAAAGTGGTACTTTCCTTTTGAGCAAGGAAATAATTTGTATATTTTCAAAAAATACCCACAAAAGTTAGTGAACATATTGAGAGGGGGAGAGAGAAGAAAGGTGGGTGGAAGGGAAGGAGGGGCATAGAGTGAGAGGAAACAGGAAGCCAAATCAGAAAAGTATGCTTGGCTATGTTCTCTTAATATTATCATATTATTGGAGGAAAAGAGTCAAAAAATGATTACGTTTTTTGTTTTTTAACCAACATAATTGTGTTTTTTCCCCTTTGAAATGTTAAATGTTTTTGGATCGTGTTTCCCCCTCCCCACTTTTACAGTTAATGTTTAAGGCAATTTGCCTAAAATGTTTACAGTTGGTGTATTCAACTCAGCACATTAAAGATTATCCTTGTAGAAAATCTACTTGTAAAACGATCTGTTATGGCAAGAAAGGGAAGAAAGTCAAGACTGCACAGGGAACGCAGGCTCTGCAAAATCCACCTTAGAAAACCATAGCTATGAAATCGCTCCTGTTTCTGAAAGGTTATGTAACATAAACAGACAGACCCATCTGCTTGGGAAAGCCACGCCCCCTGCTCCCGGGCGCTAACGAGGTCTGTTCCAAGCAGGGGCCCTTCTGAGCCCAGCAGCTGCTCAGAGCAGTCAGAGTTCACAGGTGTTCCCTACGGCAGTAGCTACTGCAGCAAGAGAGAAAACACTGAGCCAATCTTTATCCAACACGAATTTATGCCAAGATTAACTTTTTTTTTAACCAGCTTTTAAGTGGACGGTCCCTTCTTGTGCGAAAATAAAATAAAATAAAAAAGGTATGGAACTGTTGGTTAGGGATGTTTCTACAATAATACATTTTATAGAGCGCCTACAGTTTTCAAAGTGCTTTCACATGCCAGCTCATTGACTCCTCACAACACCTCGTGAGGTAGGTGCAGCAGGTCCCATTATCCCCTCCTCAAGATGAGGAAATCAAGGCAAGGAGAGCGTAAGTGACTTGCCCCAGGTCACAGATGGGAAGTGGCACAACACGAATTAGAAATCATGTTTTCTGACTCCTTCTCATTATAACTACTGCTTCCAATTGTGAACAATGTACTGTGTATCGAAAGTGAAAGGTACTGAGGATCATGTCAGTGATGTCTAACAGTACAGTTAAATGAGAAATACAAGAACAGTAGCTCTCATGGTTTTACTAGACACAATAAAATTGGTGCAAGACCACTTTCCCCCTAATTACTTGTAACCTTTTGGTCCAAATACATAAAATATGCAATATATACAGCATTTTCCTTTTTTTTTTTTGTAAATGCAATGCTTTAAAACACATTATAAAGCACCTTAGTAAAAATATTCTACAAGATAAAAGTACAGAAGACGTAGGAAAATCCTACCCATACCACAGCTCACTAACGGAGTCATAATATGGAATTACTGATCTTTCGGTTTACAGCTATTACAAATTATCCACGGAGAAACAAATACTAAAAATTCCTTCCCTGACATCACTGTGTGGGAGCTTACGCTCAAACTCAGGCAATGCCAACATTCTTTTCAGTGGCTTCCCAATCTTGGATAATGGGAAGACAAGAATAAAAATACTGCTTTGACTATCTTTTTACAGTATTAGTAACGGTTTAAAATTAGTTTTTAACACTACTAGTCATTTAAAAAAATTAAAACAACCTACATAAGTATGGACAAGCCCAACCACAGCAGAACCATTTCTTAGCTAACAGACTGAACAGTCCAATAAAGGCCATCGCACAGGACTCACAAAAACAAAGCACACTGCCAGCCAGTTCTCAACACTATCCAGTCAAGGTGTGTAGCCCAAACCTCCACGCAAAGGTGAAGCAGCAAAGGGATTCATTTGCGATTCACTGAAAGAATGCTCCATCAAAAAGAGTATCAGAAACTTTTCTGAAATTGTATTTAGCCTCTTGATTAGATCTGCCATACGTTCATATTTTAGGTGAAGGTTTTTCCCCATGTAGGAGGCTGTCTAACTCCCACCAAAATTTAACAAGAAAATATACACAAACAAACATAAGATAAACCCTGAAACTTAAACTTCTTAAAACACTGACAGTATCAGCCAGCATAATTTCCTTGATATCAATGTCTATTCATAACTTGGGTCAATACAATTTGCTTTACACCTAAACTCCAAGTTGTGGAGCTTAGAACTACAGTAAAACAGTTTTAGTTCCAGAATCCAAGTCACACTGTGTACTTAGTTCGATTTAGGGTAAATCTTTTCATAGAAAAAATTTTGTGTAAGGATGTAGAGGTCTCCATCTTTTTCTCGAACGGCATGGGCTCTGATGAACTGAAACTGCTCGAGCGCAAATTCATAGAACTCATTCTCCATTTTCCAAATGTCAGACTGCTGTAATTTTGCAATGGTTTGTTTAGTGGGTAGTTTCTTCTCTGTAGTTTTCCTAAGATGAGATTTCTTTCCTACTTACAAAGGAGAAAAAAAAAGAAGAGGTAATTAATTCTTGGAGAACACGCAAACATTCAGTAACTTTATTTGAAGAGGTGATTTAAGCTAACACAACATACTGAATGTAACTTGTTTTTCAGTAATAGCATATGATTCAAGCAAAAACGGAAGTTCTGCAGCTTAATTTATTCCTTGATGTCTATCATCACCCTCTTAAAGGCTTACTGAGATGTGAAATAGTAAAGAAGAGTCACCATACAGTAAAACCACGTCACACTGTATTCTCCTTGGTGCTCACTTGCTCGTTTATTTTAAAATATGATAAAATACCTACTACAAATTAACACTAATATCTCATAATCTACACTCTCCATAATTTTATGTTGGAAGTCAAGGCACAGAAAGAGGTTCCTATTATTGCATCAAACCCAAGAATAGCCGACGAACACAACAGAACAGACTGGCCAAGTTCCATTACTTTCAGTTATCGTACCACATTGCTGAAGCATATTTTTAGAAGTGCTATAATAAAAAATGCAAAGGTGTCACTTGGTGGACAAAGGTGCACCAGACCCAAGCTATGGTATTTTCAATTATCCATATGCATTTCAAAGTGGGGCAATGAATAAGGAAGACAAGAATTGATGTCTTTGAATTATGGTGCTGGCAAAAAACATTGAATAAACCATGGACTGCCTGAAGAAAGAATAAACCTATCTTCGAAGAAGGACAGTCTAAATGCTCTTTAAAAGTAAGCATGTCAGGACTTAATCTCGTGTCATTTGGATATGCTACTGGGAGGGAACAGACAGTCCCTGAAGCACATCATGCTTAGCAGAGTCAGTGAGAACAAGAAAGACCGTCAACAAGATGGATTGGCACAGGAACTCCTAACAACAGGCTCAAACAACAGTAAGTGTGAAGCCAGCATAGGGTGGCTTTGAGTTGGAACCAGCTCAATGGCACCTAACATAATAGAACTAGTATATGCTGTTGTTACTTAGTGAGACTCAGTCCCACTCCTACTCTAATGGCACTAAACCCTCTGCCCTAGAGTCAATTCTGGCTGATGGTTTCAGAGATGGCTTATCTTTGTGGGAACTGAAAGTCTCATCTTTCTCCTAAGTAGTGGCTGGAGGGTTTGAGCAACTAACCTATGGTTAGCAGCTCATGACTTATCCCATGACACCCCAAGTGCTCCTTGTATAGGACATTGGGCAGGTCTGAGAGCAGAATGTCATCTTAAGGTTTGTCACTGACTATATACATGTAAAAGGTTGATTCTATTGCTTGTATCTTTCTACACTTTGTATAATGTCCCCTAATTCTCACCTAATGCAAATTCTTTCACACGACAAATATTAAATAAACATTTCTGTATCAGGGACTGTTTTATATGGAAAGTGACAAACACAAACAGACAATACATGTCTTATGGAGCTATTTCTTACTCTGAAGAAACCCGAATTCACAAATATTTCCCAAATTGTAAACAAGAATAGTTGAGGAAAACTTGAAAAAGAACCCTGGTGTCCACATACCTGTTCGGTAGAGTTCTGTAGCACCCCTGAAGAAGCGGGGCAAAGCTGCCTCCAGTAACATGACAAAATCTTCCAGCTCTTCAGTCACTCCCACCAGAAAGTATTCGTTAACTAGGTTATACTTGGCCTGATCCATAGCCCACCTGCTTCCCACATTCCTAAAACCAAGGAAAATTAACTGAGAGCCTGGTTGGGAGATCTGCTAAGCATTTTGACTCCTCTGACATTACATATATTATAGAAAACATAGATAAACATTTGTGCATCCAAAGTTGAATGCCCTTTTATTAACATAATTTGGAGGGACACATCTGTTTTTTATTTCCTTTGCCACTAGCTCCAGTTTCTGCTTAGCTTTGCACAGTTAAATAAAACTTTACTAGGAGACTCCTATTCAATATGTACACAGTTTATTTTGAGGGTGGTTTAACTTTTAAAAACTACTCCAAACTAAGCTTTGTTCATTTTAAGAGCTCTCTAGTAAGGTCTAAGCAATTTGAGTTTAGTGCTTAACTTAATTTGCGAGCTTTGGCTTTTTGTGAGCTTAGCTCTCCCTGTCCCCAATGTTTCTGAAAATTAGAAAATAGGTGCACAAGCGCGCGCGCGCGCGCACACACACACACACACACACACACACACACACACACACACACACACACACAATGCCTCCCATAATGAAAAAGCGAAACAAAACCTTGTGAGCCAATGGTTACTGGGATAAACGTGGCCCTTGACACAGCCTGGGTTCTCTTCAGTCCTAATACTATCTCTCACTCCCCAGTCCTAATTCTATCTCTGCCCCCCAGCAGCAGTGTGGTCTGGGGCTGGTGTCTTGACCTCTGTTAGTTCTCTCAGCTGTTAAAACATAGGGTTAGGCGTGTGGGGGCAGGATGAATTGGCTGATTTAGAAAGTCCCTTCCAGCCTCACGAGTCGTCTGAAAAGCACTCCGGAAGCTCAATTAAAGTATGAACATGTCTAACAGAGAATAACTGTATGACTCTAAAGCAGGGACTGGCATCTTTTCATGTGAAGGGCCAGTGTGCCTTTTAGGCTTGGGGGCCTCATGGTCTTGATCACGACTACTCGACTCTGCTGTTGTTACGTGAACACAACCACAAACAACAATAAGTAAACAAATGGATGTGAGATGTGTCCCAAATAGGACTTAATTTATAAAAACAAATAATGAGCCACATTTGGTTCCTGGGCTTGTAAATCTCTGTTCTAAGGAAACAGTTTAAAACTATGAAGACAGTCTTCTATATTTTCAATTCTTCTAATGCTATTATGACGCTTTGATACAATCTATTTAATAAAGCCTCTAGTTCACAGTAATTCAATAATACAGCTCAAATAATGAACAGAAGGCATTCCTTGCATTTCTGATTACGGTTTTAAGGACGATACTAACTTTGAATGTGTTCTCTTTTTTTTAACTGCGCTTTCCTATTAAAACGATTGCATAGAATAAATAAATATGTACCAAAACTAAGCACTCAACATATTCTAAGGAAATAAATATTTTATTCAAGATAAAATATCTTTATTTTCCACTCACATTATTAGCTGACTCAACCAAAAACATAACCTTGGCTTCCTTCAAAGTCAAATCAGCTTTAATAGTGAAACAAGGTAAATAATTTACTCACTAAGCCTGTTCTTAATCTAACATGAATGGCTAAAACAATAAGCTTCAGGAAAAAATGAAATTTATAAAATGATCCTTGCCCTCTAATGAAGAGCTTTGCTGGAACAGCAAAACACATAGCACCAAAACCAACCAAACAAATAAACAAAAAATTTGAAACCCAGCATCTGAGCAAACAGTGCAATGCTATCATATCTGACCAATCTTTTCTTGTTGCAACTCAGAGCGACCCTCCGTCTGAAAGAAGCACCACCTGGTCCTGCACCATCCTCACAATTGTGCCCACGGTTGCAGCCACGGTGTAAGTCTCTATCGTCGAGGGCCTCCCTCTTTTCTTTTGCCCTTCTACTTTACCAAGCATGAGGTCCTCCTCCAGGCACTCCTGACGACATTGAAAGGTAACCACAAAACTAGGTGTTACTTAACTACACACCGTTAGTTTTAATTTGATCCTTCACGGATTTCCTTATAGCACAGGAGCAATCAATGATTCCTGCTACTAACACAGAAGGGCCTCATCCGTCAGAGCAGCCTCGATGACAACTAACTACCGCTGTTTTTAAGATAGTCACATTTGTTACATAATAAAACAGATTAATAATTTAAGCAAACTGTATCTCCATACCAGCATTCTGAGCTATGACCACAGAAGAATGGGATTTGAAGCCAGAGCTTCTCTGGAGCACAATCTGAGCCGCCCTCAGCTACACATTCATCGAAGGTCTGCAAGAAAGACAAAGCAGCACAGGTGAGCCACACATCCAGGTCTTACCAACCCAACACCTGAATGTGCCTAAGTTATTAAAGATATGGGGGGGGGGGAGAGTAGCAACGTGAAAGTGATAGGTAGTGCTAGTATGTCGCACTTGAGATATACTGAAGAATCCTAAAAATGGATTTTTCTCTCAACTTAGTTTTCTAAGAATTCTTTCACTATATGAAGGAAAATACACTGGGAAATAATTTATCTTTGGGGAAAAACTGAGCTTGCTTGTTCATTTATTTCATCCCCTTTTCAAAGGAAATTAAATAAAAAGGCACTTTTTGTGAAGTAATCACTAAGTCTTCTCTCTCTCATTTGTTAAAACAAAAAATTATTGTAGAAAGCAAAAACAACCTTAGATACATATGTCTTGCATGCCCTCCTCTCCAAATGTACCTGAGTCAATTAGCTAGAAGGAAAAGAACTCAACAGCTTATAAAAACTCACTGCCACTGAGTCAATATGGTCACGGGTATTTTAATTGCAGGTATAACCTATCTGAGATGACATAAAGGGAGAGATCAGAGAGCAAACCATGGGACTATGGTTGGTGCGGTAGACACATCTACATACACCACCTGTTATTTGTGTACAGCAGGAGTATAGGAGTAGAACGTGCACCAGTTCTAAGTCAAGGTGCTGAATTTCTAGAACTAGGTGCTGACTCAATCTTAAATAAGTCTTTAAACCCATCAGCCTTTTTGTGGGAGAAGATAGGCTTTCTGTTCCTGCAAAAGTTTATTGTCACTGAAACCTTAAGAGCAGTTCTAGGCTGGCTGCCTTATAGGGTTGCTATGACCTGAATCAACTCAATGGTAGTGGGTTTGTGTTTCAGGTTCCCTGTGCACACTTCTCCGACCTCTGAAATTACAGTAACTAAGGTCCTTTTGTCTACAATTCTACGAGAATAGGCCCAAATGATCCTTAGTTCTGGCTATGGGCTGGCCTATCCTGGATGGATTCTCTTTATTCTGGCAACATTAAAGGGGAACAGCAAACTGCAACCCACAATGTAATCACCCTTTTCTCTTACAGATTACCATCATCATCATTCAGTGAAGAAGGTCATCATTTAGGTTTTAATCCTAAACCTGGAAACCTTGTACTTTGTCTTAGTTTCTGTAAGTAAAAAATGAGGACCTCCCTTACTTGAGGAACAAAGAGCAGGGTCTCAAAAATGGCTGTGCCCATGTCTCTTCTTCCTCTCCTCCCCAACAGTCAAGCACAACGTTTGGTCTGTTTTTGTTCTCCTTGGCATCCGTAGCATTTGGCCACCACTGGCCATTATTGCCTATTTGAAACTCTCTTAGTCTTTCTGCCACTAATATATTAATTTCTATTTCTTTGAACAGTCTTGTTTATTAATGCTCTGCACCTTTCTGAATGTTACTTACCATATATGCTCGAGTATAAGCTGACCCAAATATCAGCCGAGGCACCTAATTTTACCATAAAAACCGCATAAAAATTGTGCTGTAAAACTTGGCTTATCCACGAGTATAATGTTATCTTCTTTTGTTGGCTCATCCACCAAAAATAGAAACTCATCTCAGGTTATCCTCTCTTTACTTATTATCTTCCCCAATCAACTTAATCATATGGCTTTGACAATTTATAATTTCCAGACAAGAGATTTTCAAATCTGTACAGCCAAATCTATCACTTCTTATCAATATTCTAATACCTACTTGTACTTTCATTTCAACTTAAAGTGTAACCCGCTAAGTTAGTATTTCTGGCAATGGGATTATTTTGTCCCTTGTAATCAGATCTGTCAGACTGTGTCTTGAATATTCTTTCCCCTCACTTCACATCCTTAAGTAATGTCTTTCCAATTCACCCTTTCTTTTTCAATCTTACTTCCTTCAGGCTCTCACCATGTCTGTCATGCTTTGACTGATATAACCGTTTCCTAGCTGGGCTCCCTTCCCTTCCTTCATCTGCCCTGTGCAGTTACTAAATCAATCATTGTATTTCTCTCTGGAAAAAACATGCTGATATAAAAGGCACAGCACACGTAGGAAACTAATGTGCAAGACGGTACATGGTTTACCAAAAATCTATTAACACATTATTTGCATTAGCAGTTGTTGCTTAGTGCCGTCGAGTCGGTTCAGACTCCTGGTGACCATGCACAAGAGAACAAAACAGTCTGGTCCTGCCATCCTTACAACTGCTTGTTGTAGCCACTGTGTCAATCCACCTTGTCCAGATTCTAACTCTTTTTTGTTGCTCTTCTCCATTACCAAGCATGATGTCCTTTTCCTGGGACTGTTCTCCTGACAACATGTCCAGAGTACGTGAGACCAAGTCTCACCATCCTTGCTTCTAAGGAGCGTTCTGGCCGTACTTCTTCGAAGGCAGATGTTTGTCCTTTCATTCAATATTCGTTGACAGCACCTTAATTCAAATGCATTCATTCTTCTTTGGTCTTCTTTATTCAATGTCCAACTTTCACATACATACGAGGTGACTGAAAATACTATGGCTTGATCTAGGCACACCTTAATCCTCAAAGTACCACCACAGCTTTTCAACACTTCAAAGACATCTTGTGCTGCAGACTTACCTAGGGCAATGCATCATTTGATCTCTGGACTGCTGCTTCCATGAGCACTGATTGTGGATCCAAGCAAGATGAAACCCTTGACAACTTTCATCTTTCCTCTGTTTATCATGTTACCTATAGGTCCAGTTGTGAGGATTCTGCGTTTCTGTACCTTGAGTTGTAATCTATACTGAAGGCTGCAGTCTTTGATCTGCATCAGCCAGCGTTTCAAGTTTTCCTCATTTTCAGCAAGCAAGGTTGTGTCAGATGCATATCACAAGTTGTTAATAAGTCTTCTTTTAATGCTGATGGTGCATTCTTCTTCATACAATCCGGCGTCTGATTATTTGTTTAGCATACGGATTGAACAAGTATGGTGAGATACAGCTTTCTTGATTCCTACAGTAACAACACAGTCATCTAAAGAGCCACTTTTAACAAAGCCTTATTCAGAAATGTTCAATGGCCTCCTTAAAAAAACGAAGAAACAAAACGGTCTTTATCCTGGCTTTCAAGAATGTTTCACAATCTGACCTCAAACTTCCATCTGGTTCTGATGCATCCGATGTGTAGTTTCTCAAGCATGTCCTGTGTATCTTCGACTCTGCATGTTAGCTGACATTTCCTCTGAACGTTCCCTCACTCTGCCAATCTAGTGACGGGAAGCCAGTCCCTCCAATGGCTACTCTGGTCTAAGGTCGTCCTATCTTTTTTAACTCATAAAATTAAGAGTATGGTTATGTGTATGCATACACGTTCGTTTACCTGTATAATTTGCTTCCTGTACTTTTTAAAGAATGTGCCGGCAGGGCCCCCATCTACAGTGAAAATTTCTTGGGGTAAGGGCTCACACAGGTCCTGCATAGCCCACAGCATAGTGCTACACAAACTGTTGACACTACACAAAATGTTGACAATTTGGAAATGGTTACTAGAAGATATGAACTTTTGGGGGTATATAAATGCATAATAGAGGCATCTTGCTAGTGGAGATAAAGACAGAGGCAGTAAAATTTCTTTGTGAAACAGCTTGGCAATCCTATAGTGTTCCCAAATTCTTCCAGGTTATGTAGAAAGGCACAACTCGCTTCACATGTTCAGCTTTGCACCTAAAACCCATCCATGCATAGAAAGAACAATTCTTTGTGAATTAGGCACAAATGATATTTTAAAAACATGAAATATCAAATATTCTTTAGTCCATTTTAATGATTAGTTTCATCAAATTTTCTTCTAGTTTCTTGATTCTCTCTGGTCAGGTATATGAATATGTCTAAATGGCTGCCATCTTAAATAAACATTCCTTGAAGATTTATGTTCCTTTCAAAGCCAATCTTCTGCCTCAAGAGTACAGTCTTTCCTCTCAGTCTGCTTCCTCATACGTATTCCGGTCATTCCCCAATCCTTTGGATTCCACTTAAGAGTCTTTCCTTGAGGTCACTAATGACCTCCCCATCGACAAACTTAAAGGGCACCTTTCAATCCTCATTTCATTAAACTCACTTCCCACCCATTTCAAGGACTCCTCAGGTCTGCCTCTATATCCTCTGACCTTAATGTCCTTGGCATGTTCCTCTTTCTCTGCCTATTTCTTAAATGATGGCAATTCCCAGAGCAACCTGTTTACCTTATTTTTTTATTGAGTG